TGAAGATATCAGTTTTTAAAATCCTCCAGACCCTTTAGTTTGAGTTCCTATCAGTGTTATAATAATGTTTTGTTATTTAAGTGCCATTGATAGCCCCTGCGTGGGCGTACCTTTTGCTCTGTTGGTGTTAGAGCAATGATTTTTCTAATTTTCTAATGTTTTTATGTGCAGTTGATAGCCCCTGCGTGGGCGTGATTTGCTGCTCCTGTGTTAACGGTTATAAATTAATAAAAACCATTGAAATACAGAAATCCTCCAGACTCCCCTTCTATCCCTTCTCCCCGGGAACGTCTGGGCACAGCCTGACCAGTCACCACTTAATAACCAGCAGAATTCGAGCACTTGAACCATATAGTCATATTATTATACAGTCAATAGCAAACTGTGGGCACTCACCAATACTGAACAGCGATTATCCCATCTTTCTTCAGTCCACACAGCGGCCTGGTGACTGTGAGCAGTGTCCCTGCGATTTTGGGATGGACCGGGGTGGGTCTCTGACCTTCATCCCCTCTCTCTCCACTCCAGGCTCGGCTCCTCCCGGGTCCACATGCCAGCCGGCTCTGGATCTCCAGCAATATTTTAAAGGGATGGCCACCTCCTCCAGGGAACTCTCAGACCGTTCTGTCCCCCTCTCACAGGGTATCCCGCAGACTCCAGGCTCGCCCCAGCGGTGGCCCCCCGACGCTCCTCCACCTCTTCTGACAGGTGCTCGACCAGGTGTTCAGGCGAAGCCACCTGTAGGCCGCTCTCCCTAGCAGCAGCAGCACTGACACTTCCTGGAGCCTCCACCTTCTGACTGCTCCAAACAGGATCATATCTCCGTCCGCTCACAAGGGTCCCCTGGGAGACCTGGACTTTTGCACACCGCTTCCCCGGACCGGTCGGTTTCCACGAGGCGCCGGGAGTGGTGTTCGTAAGAGGCTCACGACACTCAAGCATTCCGGCAATGTCAGGAGCTCCTAAAACACACCGCCATCCAGCCCCATGTCCAGGCCCCTCCCCTAACCCTTGAGGCGTTTTTCAAGCGGAACATTCTGGACATGTGACTTTTTACAGACCTTCCCACATGTGCGGAGCATTTTTGAGGCAATTACTATTCATTTCAATGGGAAGAGGCGTTTTTTTTTAACTCCCCAAACATGCCTCAAAGATGCTGCATGTGGGAGTTTTTACACCACATCACAAGCTCAACGCCTCCGTGTGAACACATACATAGAACTACATTCACAAATGCAGCAAAGCCGTTTTTTCTTGAGCTTTTCAGGCGTTAAAACACAAAAACACTAGAAAAACTCCCCAGTGTGAAAGTAGCCTTACGGGGAGCCTTGCTGTAAGAACACAGCCCGCCCCCTGAATGTCATTGGGTGTCACACGCAGTCCAGGCCCGGCTGACATGGAACTAAGGTTGCCACCTCATCCCTTTAAACCTGAAAACATATTAATGACACGTGTTCTGAGGCTAATTCATTGCAGATCAGGCAGATTAGGTTTATTAAAAGCACAGCGGCTTAATGGTTAGCACTTCCGCCTGGCAGTACTCGGGTTGTTGGTTCACATCCCAACCACGGCACCTCCTGCCTGGAGTTGTTCTGCCTGCGTGGGTTTCCTCCGGGTACTCTGGTTTCCTCCCACATTCCAAAGACATGCTGGGAGGTTAATTGGCTCCTGTCTAAATTCGCCCTAATATTAAAGTTACCACCTCATCCCTTTAAACCCGGACACATATTTATAACACGGGTTTCTGAGGCTAATGTAATGCAGATAAGGCACCAAGTGAGTTTAATTATCATCTTTATCAGCCAACCTGTGTAATGAATGTACAATACACATGTAAAGCGCTGTGTACATTGGTGGCGCTATACGAGTACCTGAAATAAATAAATTCCAAGCATTCCGACACAATTCGACAACATACAAATGAATAGGAAGCATTACGTAATAACAAACCTAGCAGGCATCTGAAAATAGCAGTGTCACTTATTCTGAATGGTACCCTAATGTACAAAGGCAGTGATCTCCAAACTGCGGCCCTTTGCTTGCCTCTATCCAGCCCTCAGGGTACTATTCCTCCCACTGACACCAACAAGGAGGCACCATTTCTTCCACTAGCACCAACTATGGGGCATTTTTCCTTCCACTGACACCAATGATGGGGCACTATTCCTCCCACTGACACCAATGATGGGGCACTATTCCTCCCACTGACACCAATGATGGGGCACTATTCCTCCCACTGACACCAATGATGGGGCACTATTCCTCCCACTGATACCAATGATGGGGCACTATTCCTCCCACTGACACCAATGATGGGGCACTATTCCTACCACTGACACCAATGATGGGGCACTATTCCTCCCACTGACACCAATGATGGGGCACTATTCCTCCCACTGACACCAATGATGGGGCACTATTTCTTCCACTGACACCAATGATGGGACACTATTCCTCCCACTGATACCAATGATGGGGCTATTCCTCCCACTGATACCAATGATGGGGCTATTCCTCCCACTGACACCAATGATGGAGTACTGTTCCTTCCACTGATACCAATGATGTGGCACTTTTCCTCCCACTGACACCAATGATGGGCTCTTTTCCTCCCACTGACACCAATGATGGGACACTATTCCTCCCACTAACACCAATGATGGGGCACTATTCCTCCCACTGACACCAATGATGGGGTGCTGTTCCTTCCACTGATACCAATGATGTGGCACTTTTCCTCCCACTGACACCAATGATGGGGCACTTTTCCTCCCACTGACACCAATGATGGGACACTATTCCTCCCACTGACACCAATGATGGGGCACTATTCCTCCCACTGATGCCAATGATGGGGCACTATTCCTCCCACTGACACCAATGATGGGGCACTATTCCTCCCACTGACACCAATAATGAGGCACTATTCCTCACACTGACACCAATAATGGGGCACTATTCCTCCCACTGACACCAATGATGGGGCACTATTCCTCCCACTGACACCAATGATGGGGCACTATTCCTCCCACTGACACCAATGATGGGGCACTATTCCTCACACTGACACCAATGATGGGGCACTATTCCTCCCACTGACACCAATGATGGGGCATTATTCCTCCAACTAATACCAATGACTTGACACTATTCCTCCTTCCACTGACTACAAGTACTATGTCATTATTTTTTACTCCTACTGAAGCTGGGATATTTTTCAACTCCCACTGGCCACAATCCGGCCCTCCTAAAGATGAAGGACAGTAAACCGGCCCCTTCTTTAGAAAGTTTGGAGACTCCTGCACTAAGGCAACGCACCTTTGTTGTAGCGGTTGTGCGTTGTGTTGATGTTTACCACATTAAGGTGTCACGGCCCATTCGGTATTATTCACTTATCAAGGATGGCCACCTCATCCCTTTAAACCTGAACACATATGAATGACACGGGTTCTGGGGCTGATTAACCCCTTTGCGCCAGCGCCTCCCAGCCCTTTAAGGGTTTCAGAAGCAGGGAGGCGGGGAAGGGTTTAGGATCATGTGACCGCTGTGACACCCCGTCACATGATCGGGAAAGGTCCCAATCAAAAGAGGAGATTGGGACCTTTCCGTAGGTACCGGATATGTGTGCTGGGAGCGGGCAGGGCGCGCGCTGTCGGCACATTTGTTCTTTTTTAATAGAATGCAAAATGTGCGGCCGCTCAGCGTCTAGGCCCAGACCCCGGGAGGTCGCACGTTTGAGTTCGGCCGGTGTGAAGAGGTTAAGGTGGTAATTAAACTCACTTAATGCCTTATTTCAGGTACTTATATAGCGCTGTCAATTTACGCAGCACTTTACATATATAATTGTACATTCACATCAGTCCCCCGCCCCCGAGGAGCGTACAATCTACGGTCCCTAACCCTCAAGGGGCGTACAATCTAAGGTCCCTAACTCACATTCATACATACACATACTAGGGCTAATTTAGACAGGAGCCAGTTCACCTCCCAGCATATCTTTGGAGTGTGGGAGGAAACCGGAGTACCCACAGGAAACCCACGCAGGCACAGGGAGAACATGCAAACTCCAGGTAGGTGGTGCCGTGGTTGGGATTCAAACCAACAACCCGAGTACTGCCAGGCGGAAGTACTAACCATTTGTGCAATGAAGTAGCCTCAGAACCCGTGTCATTCATACGTGTTCGGTTTGAGCCCCGGTTCCCACTTATGTGCGAGATATCGCATGTGATTCGCACAGGAACCAAACAGAACCGCCTTCCTGTGCAGATCACGTGAATTCTGTGCGGTGCGATTTGAGTTACATTTTGTATGGCCGCACCCCGCACCAGAAAGATGCAGGACCCTTTTCTGGGTGTGAATACCCATGTGACTCGATTCTGCCCTTCGCACCACGTTTTGCGGACCGATTTCGGGGTGTTGTTATCATACACACCCGCAGCGGTTCGCAGGAATGGGGTGCGATTGTGGTGCGGTGTGGAATTTGCACTGAAAATGCTGCAAATTGCGCACTGCATGAGTGTGAACCAGGGCTGAAGGGGTGCGGTGGAGAACATGCGTGTGCAGTCTTCATTTACTGACTGAGATGTAATTCTTACTGACATGATCAGCCAGCCATGAATTTCATACAGAAGAAAGGCCATTTTTGTTCTCTCCATCATATTACTGTCGGTTAGCAGACCTCCTCTGTACATTGCAGACTTCCCATAGCCAACCCATAGAATGGCGCTCGACTACTCACGCCTGGTTGCTCAACCATCGCCTGCTGGAGACGACAGATCCATCGAGCAGCTCAGCGCTCGATCACTTAGTCCTGGCTGCTCTTCCGTCGCATGATTGTAAACTACAGATCCATCGATCAGTTCAGCACTCGATCGCCCGTCGCACAACGGATCCATCATCTCACGCATGCGCATCCTTTCGTACTGCGCACGTTCGCCGCCTCTCGCCTGGTCTGTTGCTGCTCGGCCCACGCATGCGCGGTGGCATTTGCTTTTACTGCGCACGCCCCTGCCGGCCTTTCCATACATAGCGCATGCGCGGCGGCCTCCTCTTCCTTTCAGCCATCTGAGGTCGCCATGGCTCCCCAGGTGTGTATCGCGCTCCCCGTATTATGGGGTGTTGGGGGGCTTAAGGGGTCCGGGGGTCGGCCTGGCCGCCTCGGTTCGCTCCCCTGGTGATAGAGGGGGCGGTGCCGGGAGGTCCGGATGTACTGTGAGGGCAGTGAGGGGGGGAGAAGGCCTGAGACCCGGGCGGCTCTGTCACTAGAGGGCCCCGTGTGTGGGGCCTGGCCAGGCCTGGGGCCCCCAGCACGCATCTCTATCTACACAACCTGATTGGATGGGACAGAAAAAAATGGGGGCGCACCCACCGTACAATCCGATCGTATAATCCCCTGTGTACAGGCCTGACTGCTGACCGACCAGCTACAGCCGCCCATACACTGTCCAATCTCCTGTGTACTGCAGGGCCGGCCTGGGGAGCACTGCGATGGGGTGTATAGCGATCGCCTATCATACTGGTGTCTGTAACCTGCCCACACACCATACAATCTGATTGTACCACCTCTAGATGTACCAGGCCTGGGATCTGAGCACACGTCTAATGAACCCATTCATGTTGTATCCAATCAGACGGCAGTGGGTGGAGGAGATTGTACAACCAGATTGTATGGTCAGCCTTGAAGTGGAACCACACGGCGTCTGAGCACCAAAAACTGGATTCATTGTGTTATTATTTAGAGCAAACCCCTCCCCACATTCATCCATGGCTCCACCCATTCCCCCCTCCCCCCATATATCCATGGGTCCACCCATTCCCCCCCCCCTCCCCCCATATATCCATGGGTCCACCCATTCCCCCCTCCCCCCATATATCCATGGGTCCACCCATTCCCCCCTCCCCCCATATATCCATGGGTCCACCCATTCCCCCCCCTCCCCCCATATATCCATGGGTCCAACCCATTCCCCCCCCCCTCCCCCCATATATCCATGGGTCCACCCATTCCCCCCTCCCCCCATATATCCATGGGTCCACCCATTCCCCCCCATATATCCATGGGTCCACCCATTCCCCCCCCATATATCCATGGCTCCACCTATTCCCCCTCCCCCCATGGCTCCACCCATTCCCCCCTCCTCCCATATATCCATGGCTCCTCCCATTCCCCCCTCCTCCCATATATCCATGGTTCCTCCCATTCTCCCCCTCCTCCCATATATCCATGGCTCCTCCCATATATCCATGGCCCCTCCCATTCCCCCCTCCTCCCATATATCCATGGTTCCTCCCATTCCCCCTCTCCATCCATGGCTCCACCCGTTCTCCCCTCCCCCATCCATGGCTCCATCAATTCCTTACTTCCCCCCCATCCATGGCTCCACCATCTTCTCCTCCATGCCCCCACCCATTCCTACCTCTCGCCATATATCCATGGCTCCTCCCATTCCCCCTCCGTCCATGGCTCCACCCATTCTCCCCTTCCCTGTCCATGGCTCCACCCATTCTCCCCTTCCCTGTCCATGGCTCCACCCATTCTCCCCCATCCATGGCTCCACCAACTTCTCCTCCATGCCCCCACCCATTTTTTTCCTCCCCCCATATATCCATGGCTCCTCCCATTCCCCCTCCATCCATGGCTCTAACCATTTCTCCTCTATGGCTCCACCCATTCTCCCCTTCCCTATCCATGGCTCCCATCGATTCCTCTCCCCCCATCCATGGCCCCACTATTTTCTCCTCCATGGCCCCACCCATTCCTCTTTCAGAGGAAACCCCATCTATCCATGGCTCCACCCCCCCCCCCCCAATGGCTCCACCTATTCTTCCCTCCTCTTATCCATTCATGGCTCCTATTCCTTCTTCAGAGCAATCCCATTCCCCATCCATCTGTGGCTCCACCCATTTTTACCTCTCCCATCCGCCCATTCTACCCCCCCATCCATGGCTCCACCCATTCCTTCCTACCCTCCGCTCATCCCTCCAATTCATGTCTCCATGCTTTATTTTGTTGAGAAATGAATATGAAAAACACCCCAATAGAATTTCTAGCTGCAGCCATCTTGAGTAAGGGCAGATGATTCATGTAGCATTTACTCCCTGGAATCCATGTGTCCTTAGCTCAGGCATGCAGACAAGAGGGTGTGCTCAGCTTAGCCCCTCCTGAAGACACTGGGAGGTATGACATTTTCTTGGTCTAGGCCGGTAAATCGACTCTCCCTTCCTATCTATGTACTAAAGCTGGCAGTATAAGGATTACAAATGGCCAATGTTGATTGGAAGAGTGAAGTTCTAAGTGGTATCAAACAGTTAATTCACCTTTTTGGAAAGGGTAAGCGAAACACACTGACCCCCCCCCCCCCCCTCATTTAAACATGTCAAAAACACGTGATGCTTCAGGCGTGTTGGTTCACGATGGTGTCCATGTTGGTATCTTTTGTGTTACCCTTACCCTACATGAGAAAGTATAAAAAATATAGTTACACCCAACGAGTGAACTACCCCCCCCCCCCCAAAAAAAAGATTGTGAGACCCCCCACCCCCATATACATGCATGCATGACCATGGGCAGGGGGTGTCCCAGTAAAGAGAACCTGTCAGTATGTCACTATGTCATCACATTAAGGCCAATAGGTGCTTCATACAAACACAATGATGTAAACAAATATATATAGAATATTCCTTGTCACCTATAAGAAGTAAAAACATACATTTGTTAAATCTGCACCATGTAGTCACACGTAAGGACATGACCGCAGGCGGGGGATGCACCTACATACAAAAACATACATTTGTTAAATGTGCACCATGCAGTCACACGTAAGGACATGACCACAGGGGGGGATGCACCTACAGTCATGGCCGAAATTGTTGGCACCCTTGATATTTCTCCAGGAAATCATGTATTTCTCACGAAACGTATTGCATTAACACATGTTTTGCTATACACATGTTTATTCCCTTTGTGTGTATTGGGACAAAACAAAAAAAAAAAAAAAAAAAAAAAAAACAGGGAGGAAAGAAAGCAAATTCGACATAATGTCACACAAACCTCCAAAAAATGGGCTGGACAAAAGTATTGGCACCCTTTCACAACTGCGGATAAATAAGAATGTTACAAGCATGTGATGCTCCTGTAAACTCACCTGGGGCAAGTAACAGGTGTGGGCAATATAGAAATCACACCTGAAAGCAGATAAAAAGGAGAGACGTTCACTTAACCTTTGCATTGTGTGTCTGTCTGTGCCACACTAAGCATGGACAACAGAAAGAGGAGACGAGAACTGTCTGAGGACCTGAGAACCAAAATTGTGGCAAAATATCAACAATCTCAAGGTTACAAGTCCATCTCCAGAGAACTAGATTTGCCTTTGTCCACAGTGCGCAACATTATCAAGAAGTTTGCAACCCATGGCACTGTAGCTAATCTCCCTGGTCGTGGACGGATGAGGAAAATTGATGAAAGATTGCAACGCAGAATAGTCCGGATGGTGGATAAGCAGCCCCAAACATGTTCCAAAGACATTCAAGCTGTCCTGCAGGCTCAGGGAGCATCAGTGTCAGCGCGAACTATCCGTCGACATTTAAATGAAATGAAACGCTATGGCAGGAGACCAGGAGGACCCCACTGCTGACACAGAGACATAAAAAAGCAAGACTACAGTTTGCCAAAATGTACTTGAGTAAGCCAAAAGCCTTCTGGGAAAAACGTCTTGTGGACAGATGAGACCAAGATAGAGCTTTTCGGTAAAGCACATCATTCTACTGTTTACCGAAAACGGAATGAGGCCTACAAAGAACAAAACACAGTACCTACGGTAAAATATGGTGGAGGTTCAATGATGTTTTGGGGTTGTTTTGCTGCCTCTGGCACTGGGTGCCTTGACTGTGTGCAAGGCATCATGAAATCTGAGGATTACAAAAGGATTTTGGGTCGCACTGTAGGCCCCAGTGTCAGAAAGCTGGGTTTGCGTCCAAGATCCTGGGTCTTCCAGCAGGACAATGACCCCAAACATACGTCAAAAAAGCACTCAGAAATGGATGGCAAAGAAGCGCTGGAGAGTTCTGAAGTGGCCAGCAATGAGCCCAGATCTAAATCCCATTGAACACCTGTGGAGAGATCTTAAAATTGCTGTTGGGAAAAGGTGTCCTTCCCAATAAGAGAGACCTGGAGCTGTTTGCAAAGGAAGAGTGGTCCAAAATTCCGGGAGAGAGGTGTCAGAAGCTTATTGATGGTTATAGGAAGCGACTGATTTCAGTTATGTTTTCCAAAGGGTGTGCAACCAAATATTAAGTTAAGGGTGCCAATACTTTTGTCCAGCCCATTTTTGGGGTTTTGTGTGACATTATGTCATATTTGCTTTTCTGCCTCTGTTTTATATTTGTTCCAATACATACAAAGGGAATAAACATGTGTGTATAGCAAAACATGTGTTAATGCAATACCTTTTTTGTGTGAAATACTTGATTTTCAGGAAAAATATCAAGGGTGCCAACAATTTCGGCCATGACTGTACATACAAAAACATACATTTGTTAAATCTGCACCATGCAGTCACACGTAAGGACATGACCACAGGCGGGGGATGCACCTACATACAAAAACATACATTTGTTAAATGTGCACCATGTAGTCACACGTAAGGACATGACCGCAGGCGGGGGATGCACCTACATACAAAAACATACATTTGTTAAATCTGCACCATGCAGTCACACGTAAGGACATGACCGCAGGCGGGGGATGCACCTACATACAGAAACGTCCGGCCTACATGTTGTACAGTACTGCACATGCCAGTGTGAGTGATAATTCTAAGGCCATGACCTGTAAGGACCTCTAGCGGGGATGTCCAATTCCTGTCCCCTGGGACATGTAGTTCCGGGCACATAGCCCTGCCGCGGGCAAGCAGCAGGGCTCACCTGTCAGGTGGAAGCATTCGGGTGGCACCGCTGCTGCTGATTGCTTCCACACAGCCCACAGTGTCAGCCTCTCCCCCGCTCTATGTCCCGGGCTCCGCTCGCCCATCTGTGGGCCCAAGACTGGTTCGGCGGGTGCCATGGGATGTGGTATAGGGGAGGGAGGAGG